TATATACAGCAAAATTGTTCAACACACAATGAAATGTAAAAAATTAAGAACATCCAGTGCCAATGAGGATGGTTAGAAATGAGCACTTTACTCCTGTTCCTGGGGAGGGGGGTTACTGACAGCACTTGGGGAGCATTTAAGTAGCATATAGTCTCTAAGATTCACTTTCTTCTTTCTACAAATGTATACTGGACCAGGCCACCCATGGGCAAATGGTCCACTGTGTCATCAAACATCTATACTCACTCTGGGCTATCAGAAGATGGTTAATAGTACTGAGTGGGACTGGAGGTGTGGCTCAGTGCTATAGAATATGCTTGGCATGTGTAAAGCTGTGGGCTCCATCCCAAACACCAGTAATAGCAATGATATGCTGAAGTCGACTGATGTAATAAAATACAGTATAATTCAAATGCAAAAAATGAAAGAAACAAGTTATAAAACAATATATATTCTAATGGACTATAGTATACAGGGAAAATCCTCACAAATTAAATTTCAGTCTGTACAAGAAGACAAGCATCAACTCTATAAAACCTCTTAAAACAGCAAGACTTACTGTTAGAATATCAAAACACTTTTCCGCAAAGAGCCCATTAGCTGTTCTGAGCAAGTACTGCGTGCCAGTCTTGTTCACTTCGCTGAGAAGTGACTGGAAGCCCTGGTGGACATCTCCACCTCCACTGCTGCTGCATTTATTCAAAGAAAGCACCTGAAATCAGAAAGAGAATAAAAACACATCTTCATTAGGCCCAACTATAGGAAATGAGTCAGCACTAAACGCATCCTCAGAATTCTGCACACCCTTGCTGCCTCAGAAGAACCATCTGATTAAACACCAAAAGTGCCTTGAAAGCTCCCTCTCTGGGGTCCTCCCCTGTACCCAGTCAGCCCTGGTCTGAGTAGCAATGGCTCTCCTCAGATCCCAGCTCTACATGCTCACTACCTGTGCTCTGACTACAAGCATGGCTAACAACCAGACCTCCTATCCCTCAAGTGCAGGCAGCTCCTGACTTTGATCGACGCAGACTTTCCCCTGCCCTTGGGGCTGGTCTGGTTCTTGCATTGTCTGACCAATAGAATTCAGCAGAAGTGACCCCCTTCAAGCTTGGGCATTAAAAGCTCTGGCAGCTGCCACATTTGTGCTCTTGTCTCAGGCACCATGATGCAAGGAAGTCCAAGCGATCCTGCTGGAGGCCGCACGGAGAGTCCTAGAGTCAGTACCACCACACAAAGTTGCTTGGAAGAAAAGTAAAGCCCAGCCAATGGTCAGAACCTCAGACATGATATCAGCTTCCTCAGACCTTCCAACCCCATGGAAAGACCCCCATGCATGACTACAGGTGATCTGGACTCATAGGAAACCGAAGAACTTTCCATCAGACCATAGAATCTGAGAAACAATATACCAGTACTGCTTCTACCCACTGAGCATTGGGGAGACTTGTTCTGAAGAAATAGATGAAATACAGAGCAATCTAGAAATCTAGTACATGCTGCTAGCTGTGGACGCAGGTAGTGGGCAAAGACTGGTCAGTGAAGCAATGACAACAGGGAGCTGGAGAAAAGGACCTGTCATGTGGGATGTACTGGCAGAAAATGCAGGACATTTCCCCTGTGATCATCTGTTTCTGGCTAAATAATTAGACCTTATCTGGAGTTAATCTTTTAAAGGAATAATGAAGTTAAAAATGTGGTCATAAGGGTGAGTTCTAATCCAGTCTGACAGGTGTTCTTCTAGGAAAAGGCGCTCAGGAAGGACTAGACACACGGCAAACATACAGTGAGGACATAAGAGAGTAGATGCCATCTATAATCAGGAAATACCAGACTGTCATTGATTTTGGATTACGGTCTCTAGAATGGTGTGAAAATAACTGCAATTTAAGTCACCCAGTCTGCATTGTTTATTACACAGCTCTGGCTGACTAACACATCTTGACCCCCATTTCTAAAGAGTACACCTGAACTTGTGCCTCACCATCTCCCTGGCTTATGCTGAGTCAGACTGCTTCTTTAGTTTAGAAAACTCTACACCTAAAGAACTATACCTGAGAAGAGCTTCAATTGATTCTAAGGGCTCCCAGCCAAGCCTGACCCCATGGTCGGGTCTTGGGAGGGGAGCAGCCTAGTTTACCTTACTTGTGGGAAGGCTGAGAGCCATCAGAAGCCAGAGAACAGACAGCGGGGGTCATCTGTGGCCTTGGTGCTATGTCTTTGGTATTCCTGCCTTAAGTGATCCTCACCCTTCATCTGCTACCCACAGTCCCCACCCCAACATCACCAATGGATCAGGGTGTTCATGCCTGGGTCCTAGCAGAGTGAGAACATCCTTCCCATCAACTCTCCATCCACACCCCTATGTCATCAGTTGTCTGTCAAGGCCATTCCTTTGGGATTTGAAATGAAAGGACCAACTCAACTGGCAGTCAATGGTATTGAGCTACTATATGAAATACGCTGGTTACCTCAGCCATCTGGCTTGCGGTGGTTCCCTTTGCCCCCATGAAGACCATGGCCAGAGCTGAGGAGATGCTCAGGGGTGAGAAAAATACATTTTTCGAGCTGTCTTCACCCAGTGTTTTCAAAAGGTTTAAGGCAAAGGTGCCATTTGCTTCCAACAGAGGATCCATGATGGCGAGCCTGGAAAGAGGGATTTAAAACCATTATCACATGAACACTGTGTCTTCATGCTCACTCATACTACGATGCTCTGCCTCAGTGAGCAAATCAACATATTCAAAACTCCGTGGTTTTTTGGCCAGGGCAGGGTGTTCAAGATTGCCTTTCGTGTTTCCCATATTAAGTGAAAACAAATGAGCAGTAATATTTGACTTTATCACCCCGTTTTGTGGAGACTTCTCTCTGTACATGTTCTCCTGCACATGGAGAACATGTGGGAGGGAGCACACATGACACATCACTGTGGTTACTTCCTGGGAGTGGTGTGAAGGAAGGGGTTATTGGTTTTGTTTCCGTGTCTGAATCCTTTGGTGTGATGAAAGGGCTCACTGTGCTGCCTTGTAATTTGAAGGCTATAAATATAATAAAATGATGAATTCACTCACAAAGTTACCCAAGACAAAATAGACAAATATTTTCACAGTGTGGGAGAAAGTCCCCCATGTTAGGAAAACCAGAAGCTTAAAAATAAAATAGAATAAGTCAAGTCATATTTGAAGCACCACATGACCTTCAATTCCCATTGTGCAAAGCTATGCACATGGCAAGGCCATGCTAAAGGCCTGCTGCTATGGACCAGGGTTTCCCTCCCATTGTTCACACTTGGCCCATGCACTCAAACCACTTTGTATGTGGTCAGCTAGTCACAGGCTCAGGGGTCAGAGTCCCTGCAATCGGTACCATGAAGGCAGCTGGCAGCACCCTAGCAGGGTCAAGGGCAAGAATACAGCTACACAATTAGAGGTAGGATGTCTTTAGGTCAGTCAGAATCACAACGGATATCCAGAATGTAGCATAGCAAGACTTTAGCTGTCTACTCTCTGCTTTCCACAAATAGTTACCAAATGCCTGTTTTCCCCCGCCTGGCAGTGTAGCATTCTAAGACATTCCAGGTGAACAGCACATGAGCACCCGCAGAACAAGGAAATGGGGAAACAAGAGTCCACGAGCAAGGCAAGGGTACCCAGCTCTAGGACCTGTGAAGAGATTCAGAGCATATCTTTGCTGTTGGGGCTGTGATCAGCCTGCCGAGGGCACTGAAGACATCCAGGTCCCAGCCCTCATCGAGCATGCTCATGGATCCAAAGTATTTTAATGAATAGGTATTTGTTTTTGTCTTGATGCTCAAAACTGTTCTTACTTGGCTATTAAGAATCCCTTTAGATGATACTTTACCCTGAGCTGTTGGTTTCAAATATCCTGGTCTTATTACAACAAGAGGATCTTACACACTGTGGGAATGACTTTTATAATTGGACATAATTTGGACTAATGACTTTTAATTAACTCCAGCAAAACCTTGTGGTCTTGTGTCTTGTGACCTGGTTGCCTGATCTTGTTTCCTGGGAACCTCAATTTGGTACTCCACCCAAAAAGAATGAATGAATGAGAGTGTGCTTGAGAATTAAGCCCTAAAAACAAGTGCACTCATCTACATTGTACTCAGTGGAGATTGGGAAAGATGATTGACCTCAGATGAATGAGATATTCTAGAACTAGGGCTGAAAAGACCAGATAATATGTTAAGATTAGGGTGGAACTAAGCTTGTAAACCTCAATTGGAGTTGAAGAAACTATTTTGAATAAAATTATGGGAGGGGCCTGACTTTGGGAGACAGTTCCAGAAACAGAATTCCAGGGACAGTTCCACCACTACAGGTTCAAGAGATACCTAGGGGAATGGGCTGATTTCAGGCCCATTCTTTTTTATTTTTCAAACCCATTGTTAAAAACTAAATTTAAGAGTTAAGCTTTTTTGTTCAGGTAATTATGATGTTGAGATAGTCGTGCCACAATAAACTATGCTGAATTTTTCTAGTTCAAGGACATAATGTTGTCTTCTGGCTGCCATTTTTTTTAACAAATTTCATTTTTTAAAGATCTCTCTCTCTCTCCCCCCGTCCCTGTCCCTGTCCCTGAGTGTGTGTGTGTGTGTGTGTGTGTGTGTGCATGTGTGTGTGGTGTGTGTGTGGTGTGTGTGGTGTGTGTGTGTGGGGTGTGTGGGGTGTGTGTGTGTGTCTGTGTGTGGGTGGGGGGTGTGTGTGTGTGTGGGGGGTTGGTTGTGGTCTGTGGGTGTGGGTTGTGTGTGTGTGTGTGTGTTGCGGTGTGGGTGTGTGTGGTGTGTGTGTGTGGGGTGTGTGGGGTGTGTGTGTGTGTCTGTGTGTGGGTGGGGGGTGTGTGTGTGTGTGGGGGGTTGGTTGTGGTCTGTGGGTGTGGGTTGTGTGTGTGTGTGTGTGTTGCGGTGTGGGTGTGTGTGGTGTGTGTGTGTGGGGTGTGTGGGGTGTGTGTGTGTGTCTGTGTGTGGGTGGGGGGTGTGTGTGTGTGTGGGGGGTTGGTTGTGGTCTGTGGGTGTGGGTTGTGTGTGTGTGTGTGTGTTGCGGTGTGGGTGTGTGTGGTGTGTGTGTGTGGGGTGTGTGGGGTGTGTGTGTGTGTCTGTGTGTGGGTGGGGGGTGTGTGTGTGTGTGGGGGGTTGGTTGTGGTCTGTGGGTGTGGGTTGTGTGTGTGTGTGTGTGTTGCGGTGTGGGTGTGTGTGGTGTGTGTGTGTGGGGTGTGTGGGGTGTGTGTGTGTGTCTGTGTGTGGGTGGGGGGTGTGTGTGTGTGTGGGGGGTTGGTTGTGGTCTGTGGGTGTGGGTTGTGTGTGTGTGTGTGTGTTGCGGTGTGGGTGTGTGTGGTGTGTGTGTGTGGGGTGTGTGGGGTGTGTGTGTGTGTCTGTGTGTGGGTGGGGGGTGTGTGTGTGTGTGGGGGGTTGGTTGTGGTCTGTGGGTGTGGGTTGTGTGTGTGTGTGTGTGTTGCGGTGTGGGTGTGTGTGGTGTGTGTGTGTGGGGTGTGTGGGGTGTGTGTGTGTGTCTGTGTGTGGGTGGGGGGTGTGTGTGTGTGTGGGGGGTTGGTTGTGGTCTGTGGGTGTGGGTTGTGTGTGTGTGTGTGTGTTGCGGTGTGGGTGTGTGTGGTGTGTGTGTGTGGGGTGTGTGGGGTGTGTGTGTGTGTCTGTGTGTGGGTGGGGGGTGTGTGTGTGTGTGGGGGGTTGGTTGTGGTCTGTGGGTGTGGGTTGTGTGTGTGTGTGTGTGTTGCGGTGTGGGTGTGTGTGGTGTGTGTGTGTGGGGTGTGTGGGGTGTGTGTGTGTGTCTGTGTGTGGGTGGGGGGTGTGTGTGTGTGTGGGGGGTTGGTTGTGGTCTGTGGGTGTGGGTTGTGTGTGTGTGTGTGTGTTGCGGTGTGGGTGTGTGTGGTGTGTGTGTGTGGGGTGTGTGGGGTGTGTGTGTGTGTCTGTGTGTGGGTGGGGGGTGTGTGTGTGTGTGGGGGGTTGGTTGTGGTCTGTGGGTGTGGGTTGTGTGTGTGTGTGTGTGTTGCGGTGTGGGTGTGTGTGGTGTGTGTGTGTGGGGTGTGTGGGGTGTGTGTGTGTGTCTGTGTGTGGGTGGGGGGTGTGTGTGTGTGTGGGGGGTTGGTTGTGGTCTGTGGGTGTGGGTTGTGTGTGTGTGTGTGTGTTGCGGTGTGGGTGTGTGTGGTGTGTGTGTGTGGGGTGTGTGGGGTGTGTGTGTGTGTCTGTGTGTGGGTGGGGGGTGTGTGTGTGTGTGGGGGGTTGGTTGTGGTCTGTGGGTGTGGGTTGTGTGTGTGTGTGTGTGTTGCGGTGTGGGTGTGTGTGGTGTGTGTGTGTGGTGAGTGTGTGTGTGGTGTGTGTGTGTGTGTGTGGTGTGTGTGGTGTGTGTGTGTATCTGTCCAACATGTCCTTCCACACCTGCTTTTCTCTCTCCCCCCTGTCCCTGTCCCTGTCCCTGAGTGTGTGTGTGTGTGTGTGTGTGTGTGTGTGTGTGGTGTGTGTGTGTGTGTGTGTGGTGTGTGTGTGTGTATCTGTGTGTGTGTGTGTGTGTGTATGCATGCACATGTGCAGTTGCTTGCAGAGGCCAGAAGAGGGTACTGATCTCCTGGAGCTGCAACTGTGAATCACCTGATATGGGTGCTAGAAAACAACCACCAGTTCCCTCTGCAAGAACAGCAAGTGCTCTTCACCGCTGAGCCATCTCCCCAGTCCTCTTTTAATAGCAGAGTTGCGGAGTACAGAGCACTTGGGGAGCAGGCAGGTATTGGAGCTGAATGAAAGCACAGCTGCTGCTGCTGCTCCTGGGTATCCCGGTGACAAGCTGGGATAGATGCTCCCCTACAACATCCTCCAGGACTGTTCAGTAAAAAAGAAAAAGGCCTTGAAAGTCTGGATGGACTCGACTCTTCTAAGACGCGCTTGCACTTGGAGGCACTCAACTGTGTTCAATCACACTGTTTCCATTTCATTACATGTTTGGGTCACACCAACTTGTGTTAATTCAGACTTCATTATTGTTTGAGTCACTTTCTATTGTTGTGATAAAACACTGACCAACACCAACTTAGTGAGAAAAGGGCTTATTTCATCTTACCCTTCCAAGGTGCAGTTCATCTTTGAGGAACAGAACTCAGGGCAGGAACCAAAGCAGAGACCATGGAGAAATGCTGCTTACTGGCTTGCTCCCCTGGCTTGTTCAGTCACCCGCCTTATACAGTCCAGGCCCACCTGCCCAGAGATGGCACCACCCACAGTGGACTGGACCCTCCTGTATCAATTAGTAATCAAGAAAATGTCCCACAGACATGTCCACAAGCCAATCACATGGAGGACATTTCTCAACTGAGGCTCCCTCTTCCCAGGTGTTTCTAGTTTGTGTCAAGTTGACAAAAATTAAGCACAATTATCAGTGAGGCCTCCTTGGACCATTGCTCTGTGAATGCTGCACAGATCAAATTCTTTTGCCAATATCATCTCCTGTTATAGGCCCCAACATCTTCCTGCACTGAGACTTGCTCCTTTATTTTGATGGAGAACACTGTCCAATCACCCAATCACTTTCTAAGAAAGAATGAAGTTACTTTGA